GAATACGATCTGTTCTCGAATCTCAAAAGCATGATAATGAGAGAAATTATCTTTTTCTAAAAGGAAAAAGAGAGTTCAAAATCACATAAATTGAAAAGAGTCGAGGAAAAATGATTAATGAGAACGAAATGAGTACACACGTGGATAATTAAAGTGTTTAATATTATCAAATTTATTCTACAGAAATATCCTATAGAACAGATTCGCATTTGGCCCTTCAGTACACGTTCAAATCAAACCTGTAGACCTACGTTAATCGAGCCGGATGCTGATCTTCAAAAGCCCATCATCGACTGCGCGGAAAATCACAATCCGTGGAACGTATTTGTTGAACTTGTACCTCCAGACTCTGACATGACAGCGTTACCGCTTTTCGACAAGGACACTGATGTTTTACTCTTTTTTAAACTACGATCCCAAAAATAAGAAGATTCATTACTGCGGTCATCACTATATGCCTGTTGTAGCTAAAGTCCGTAAGTGGAAATTTTAATATATATATATATATATATATATATATATATATATATATATATATCTATATATATATATGTATGTATTTAAATATTGATATACTAGAGAGAATATATTATTATATTTCGAGTGTAATTTAAAAAATCTAATACATATAAATATAATAAATTTTACAGAGGAGCTTATACCAATTTTAAATGAACGTGCCGGATTACCACCAGACACAGAACTCGCTTTATATGAGGGAATTAAACCAAATTTAGTCGAGAAAATAGATAACCTATCGGAGCCTTTGGAAAAATTTCTGGAGGAATTAATGGACGGTGACATCATCGTATTTCAAAAGGAAGGCGACAATGAAATGTACGAACTTCCAACGTGTCGAGAATATTTTAAGTAAGTAACAAGTAAACGCTCTAACACTTTCATCTCTTTTTGCTAATGTATCTTGAGAATCCTATCTTTGAATATCTATAATATTGCAATACGCTTGCTAATTTAACGCGATTTGCATTTCAGAGATCTATTCTATAGGGTAGAAGTAACGTTTTGTGATAAACTGATTCCGAACGACCCAGGTTTTACAATGGAACTTTTGTTAAGAATGACATATGATCAAATGGCAAAGGCTGTAGCGCAATGAGTCGGCACAGATCCGTATCTTTTACAATTCTTTAAGTGTCAAAAGTAAGAATTCCTGCTTCTTTGTACTAATAATGTTACATTAAAAGTTATTTTAAAGTGCTTTAAGAGAAAGGGTTATATTCCGAGATTCTGTTTGCAGTTACAAAGATTCTCCCGGCCATCCTTTAAAGTGTACATTT